CGGAGCCGAAAGCCATTGAGTGGCAATGGCGGCGACGGCGAGTCCAGGGGCCGGCGGGATGGACGGGAAGCCCCGTACCTCCCCTAAGTCCGTCAAGTTCCTGTTTGGGGGCCTGGCCGGGTAAGCTCAGGCCCCAGGGATGGGAAAGGAGGAAGGGACGGGCGCGAGGAATTGGGCCGTGCTCTTCTCTAGGTCTCTAGCAGTGACCTGAGCCGGCACGAGGTCAGCGTGATCCCCAGCGTATTGCGAGGTTCTTGATTGGCTTCCAGGATCTTTTTATCTATTACAGGGCCTCTACTGGGCTGCATGCAGGGTCATTGCTTAACCCTCATTGGACTGAGTTTCCCAGCCTGCTGCTTGGCTCTTTGCCTGACTGTATGAGTTTCCAGGTTATCAAGTGGTTTCCCACAGGACTACTTGGAGTCCCAGGTCATGGATGTTCCCTTCCTGCCCACACTGAGTCAGACTGCACGCCATCCTTGCTCGACCCCCATGGAGCTACTTGGAAGCACTTTCACTGTATACCTCCTACTGGATGAGTGTACTTTTCAGACATGTTGCTCTTGGTGCTCCCAAAGTCTTCTACACACCACCATCAACCTCCTGCCATCCTTAACCACAAGGCAGGCCCTGACCTTTGTAACTGCTCCCAGGCACCAGTAGGCATTATTTGATCTAGAACACGACCTTTGATTCCACTTTTGCCTTCCTCTAGGATGGGAGCTACAGTTTTTGTGCAGCCCTTGGATCTGGTGAAGAACCGGATGCAGCTGAGTGGAGAAGGGGCCAAGACAAGAGAGTACAAGACCAGCTTCCATGCCCTCACCAGCATCCTGAAGGCAGAAGGGCTAAGGGGCATTTATACCGGGTATTGGGGCCTCAGGTTGGGGGGACAGTGGGGCTTGGCAGATCCAGACCTTGGCCTGACATACTGACCCCTTTGCTTGCCAGGCTGTCCGCTGGCCTGTTGCGCCAAGCAACCTATACTACTACTCGCCTTGGCATCTATACTGTGCTGTTTGAGCGCCTGACTGGGGCTGATGGTACACCCCCTGGCTTTCTGCTGAAGGCCTTGATTGGCATGACTGCAGGTGCAACTGGTGCGTTTGTGGGGACACCAGCTGAGGTGGCTCTTATCCGCATGACTGCCGATGGCCGGTGAGTTCCAGGTCAAAGCCTAACCCCACCCCCATTCCTGGAATCTAGAATGAAAGATCAGTTTTTTTGTTTATTTTCCCCCCAGATTTAGAGCAGGGCGTTTACCTGTTCATGCCTTTCTTTGCTTCTGTGGACAGTGTGAATTATCCTGATCTTGGCTTGTCTTTGCCCTCCCACTAGGCTTCCAGCTGACCAGCGCCGTGGCTACAAAAATGTGTTTAATGCCCTGATTCGAATTGCTCAGGAAGAAGGAGTTCCCACACTATGGCGGGTAAGAAAAGGGGCTTGAGATTTGAGGGTTGTGGGATCTGATCTCTGGTATTTCTCACTCTTCCTCCACCCCTCCACCTCCAGGGCTGCATCCCTACCATGGCTCGGGCTGTTGTTGTTAATGCTGCCCAGCTCGCCTCATACTCTCAATCCAAGCAGTTCTTACTGGATTCAGGTGAGGCTCAGAGCTAGGTCCTCAGCTCCCAGTTTGGCCCAGTCCACCTCTGAGTTGACCACCCCTGCCTTACACCCCTCCCCCCAGGCTACTTCTCTGATAATATCCTGTGCCACTTCTGTGCCAGCATGATCAGTGGCCTCGTCACCACTGCCGCCTCCATGCCTGTGGACATTGTCAAGACACGGTGAGTGCAGGCCTGGATCTGGAGAGCTGTGGGAAGGTACACTTCTGTCTTTCATGTCCCTGTGTCTTCTCTTTCAGGATTCAGAACATGCGAATGATTGATGGGAAGCCAGAATACAAGAATGGGCTGGTGAGGAAGCTGGTCTGGGGATGGCTTAAGTGTTGGATACCCTGGGAGGTGGATAAGGGCAGCTGGGTAAAGTGGACAGGGCTGTAGAGGCCAGGTCCTAGCCCCAGCACCCTACTTGCTGTCTGTCTAGGATGTGCTGGTGAAGGTCGTCCGCTATGAGGGGTTCTTCAGCCTATGGAAGGGCTTCACACCGTACTATGCCCGCCTGGGCCCCCACACTGTCCTCACCTTCATCTTCTTGGAGCAGATGAACAAGGCCTACAAGCGTCTCTTCCTCAGTGGCTGAGGTAGCAAGGTGCCTGGAGCCAGTGTGCTAGGGCCCTCAGTCACCCACTGCTCCGATAGTCACTGCAGCCCTCACCCCAGGGGCCTGGACTCTGCTGCCCCAGACCCCTCTATTTATTTCCCTGCCACAGTGTGGTTTTCTCCTTTGTGGTAAAGGACTTCAGTCTGTTCTACCCCCTGGTTCAGCTTGTCCTGCTTCTGATGCCTGATTCTTATGACAGCTCTATCCCTCATCATTCCCTGGGGAGCTGGGAAACTCCCTATCTCCTCTTGGGTATTAGTTTCAGGACACAAGGGACAGCAGAAGATTCCCCTTGTCACTGGGGAAACCAAGGCAGAGCTGAAGGGACAGGAGAAAGCAAAAGCTATCAAGATGATCAAAGGGTCCACAGTGGGAAGATGTGGCCCTTCCTCCCCCTCACTGAGGACTTAATAAATTGGATTGATGACACAACCCCCAGATCCGGACAGTTGTGGGGCTCAGAAAGGGGAGGAGACTGGACAAAGAAGCAGATGTCTCTGGAGAAAAGAAAACTGGAGTTTTTTTTAAGAAAAAAATATTAAAGGGCCAGAGATGTAGCTCAGTGGCACCGTGCTTACCTGGCAAGCACAAGGTCCTGAGTTAAATCCCTGGTTCCACCAAAAGAAAAAAAGATATTAAGGGACTATATAGTTTTATGGAAATTATATGTAAATCACTCAGGGCAAAGAAATTAATACTCTGACCTTGTGTGTTGCTTCCAAGCCACTTGCCCAAGAATGCAGTGGATACACAAATCATGTCACATAATCCTTTGGAAAGGCCTCTGGGATCTAGTGACTACTTCAGCAGCTAAAGCTGGTGGGGGTGTGGGAGGATGATTTGTGGGTTCAGAGCCAGGGGTGAAATGGGTAGGGAGGCAGCGGGTATGGGGTGGACATGGGAACCAAACCCAAAACTTGAGGAAAGGTAGGGTATTGGCCAGAAACCTGGGCTGGCTGGAGAACATGTCTGCCTTAGCTATTTTTTTGCAAAGTATGATTCTTAGGCCTTGCTTCAAGGAGCCTACAAGCCTCTTGGAGCATAAAGGGACATGGAAAGGTCAAACCAGGGGGAGTGCTGGGCAGTTTGAGGGCTGTGTGCCAGGCCAGGGAAGAGGCTGGCAGCAGGTGAGAGCTATCCCCTTGGCAGAGCCTTGTGAACAGGGGGTGGAGCTCAACATCCTGGTGCCCCTAAGGCAACCTCCCTTTTTACCCCTCCATGCCCATTGTCCTGGGGCATGGTGGCTGCTGTGCAACACTTGAAGCCTGCACCTTGGCCTTAAGGAATTTCAAATCTAGCAGGAAGATTGGGAAACGAGCTGTAACAGTAGACTCTTACAAGGTAATTTGGAACCCTTGGCCTATCTAGGAGAAGGGACTTGCACGTAGCAGTCAAACAGGTTGGGAAGAAGAGCAGGGACAGAACTGGCTAGGGTGAGGGCAGTAGCTCAGAGGAGAAACACGGCTGGGGGCTGGTGATCTATTAAGCATTTGCAGTGGCTTAAGCACTGAAGACAGCTTGTTAGATGGCAGGGAAATCCTCAGTTGCTAAACAAAAGTTTGTCCTGGGGATGGGGGTGTACTTCATGTATGAAGCATTGGGTTGATCAGTACCATAAAAGAAAAGTTTAAAGCCAGAGAGAGACCAGATTCTCAGCAGATTACTAAGACCTCTCCCATACCCATCTTCAGGAGGGAGTCTTGGAGCCAAAAAGACCAAGCTTTCACCCCCATTCCCTGAATTATTCTGAAGCCCAAGATTGGCCTGAGGATTGGGCAGGAGAGGAGGTTTCACCAGTGTGGTTAGGGAATGGCAGAATCAATAGAACGTGAGAAGAGTCCCATATGCCTGCGTCCTGGCTCAAGTGCTGGAAACCCAAGATTTCAGTTAAACCCACCACGCAATGACACATTGCCAGACCCCCACTGTCTCCCTGTTCCACTGACCTGGGCAATGAGGAGAGTGTGTTTCTGAGACTGGGGGTACAAACAGGTATCCACATTCATGCCAGGGCTCCAGGCTGCAGGCAAGTAGGTTTCCGCAGTGTCACCCAACTCCAGGGGCCTACTGTTCTGCCCTGGACCTGATGCTTAAAGTGGCCTGGTGGGTTGCCATTCCTGCAGGAAAGGAGCCGACCCAGGCAGAGGAACTATAGGCTATGATTGGAGGTTTGCTGGAACCACAGTGAGGGCAGGTGGGACCTTGGGAGTTCTCGTGACAGGTGCCCTAGTCTCTTCTCCAAAGGAAATTTTTCTTTTTAAAGCTTTTTTTATTGTACAAATATACAGTTACGATAGAAAGCTAGGAAATGCCAAGCAGAGAGGAAGTTTCATATTATGCTCAAAGAATACATTCTGAAATTTTTCTTATATGTACATGTGCATGTGGGAGCCATGTACTAGTCTATTAGCTTTAATCACCCCCCCCAATAAATGAAGACCTGAGGAAAAAAAAAAAAAAACTTCCCGAATATGATGGCAACCCACCAAGGAGCTTAGCTCTATGACCCAACTCCATCACCTTTACCCCTCCTGCTTTGTGGGAGCTGGGATTGTGTTCCTGAATGTGAAAGGAAGCCTTCAGGTAACAGAAAAGTAAATTAAGACCTTGTGATTCTGTGTGTCTTACACTCACCCCAGTTCGATCCCAGCAGGACAACCCATACAAGCCTCTCAAGGGTCCCCCAAACCTCTCACCTTCAGAGGCTGTGGCCAGAGTACCTAATGCCCACTGTGCCCAGCAGATCCTGCCCACGACCTTGACTCAGGATGGAAGGCCGCCGTCCTGCTACCAGAGGCCCCACACGGCCATTAGGCCTTACCCACAAGAAAAGGCTAGAACGGAAAGTAGGAAGCGATCCTTGAAAGAAGAGCAACCAGGCCCGAGGCATGGTTATCTGCCTTCCTCTCTGTACCTCCAGGTGTGTGGTGTGAGTGGCTGTGGTCAGGGTCACAGAATGACCAGAGACCAGGGTATGTGGTTTCACATGCCAAACCCAAGTTAGCAGTAGGATGAGCACCACAGAGGCAAACAGGAGCCAGAGGAGACCCAGGAGATAGAAGCCAAGAGGGAGGAGACAGCAAAAGTCAGGGTTGAGAAAAGGATCATTTCTGGAGCTGTCAAGATTCCCTTGAGCTACTCCTTGCACCTTTAAGAAGTTGAGAGATTCTGGAGTGACGGCTGTGATAGATTCTAAGAAACTAGAGAATAAGGTAGTCTCTGTGTTAAAAGGTAGTTCTGTAATGGGTTCTGGGTTGGTCCAAGTTGTGGATTCTGAGGTAATCCAAGTTGTGCTGGGCTCAGGGCTCGTCCAGGTTGTGCTGGGCTCTGAGAAATTTACAGTTTTAAGTTCTGGAGTGGTAGATTCTCGGATAGTTGAGGTTGAGGTGGGCTGTAGGGTAGTTAAGGCTGTAAGTTCTAGAGCAGTTGAGGTTGTAGGTTCTGAGGTGTTCAGGATTGTAGTGGTAGATTTTGGAGTGGTCCGGGTTGTGGTAGCTTCTGGGGTGGTTGGACTTGTGGTTGGCTCTGCAGTTGTCAAAGTTGTGGTAGGTTCTGGAATAGTCCGGGTTGTGGTAGGTTCAGTAGTAGGTTTGGGCATTTTGGAGAATGTGGTGGATTCTGTGGTCATCAGGAATGTGGAAGAATCTGGGCTCCGTGTAGTTGGGAAGGTGGCCTGTTCCTTAGTGGATTCGTGTGGCATTTTTTTGTCCAGAGGAGAGGTAGCTTCTGAATGGAGCAGGCCCCAGTGGGTTGTATGGGCTTTGGTGTTGGTAGAGAATTTGACCACAGCCCTTGTGGCAGGTACCATTCCATCTTCAGGGGCTGTATCATATTCATCGTAGTCTATGTGATTATTATCACCAAGGGTGGGGCACTCCTTGCCTAGATATGTGTAGACAGGTATTTTGCCCAAATTGATACATAGCACACTGGCTACATTGGGGGTCATAGCCTTGACATCCTCACCCTCCTTCCATAAGTAGACATTATTTTTATTGTCCTGAAGCCAGCGTTGGAAATAGAGGATCTCACAATCACAATGCCATAAGTTGCTATGAAGAAAAACAAAAGGCAGGAGGAGATCACCAAAGAAACCCTTTGATATTGTGCGTAACCAGTTACTTTGGAGGAAGAGGGTGTCAAGCTCCTCCAACCCATTCAGGAGCCCAGGGGGCAGTTCATTCAGCTGGTTATTAGCTAGATTGAGCTTCTTCAGCTGGGATGTGGATACCAGGAGTCCAGGGGGCAGAGTCTTCAGCTTGTTACCTTGCAGGGAGAGCTCATGGAGTTGGCTCAGGCCAGCCAGGGCATCAGGAGACAATGAAGTCAACTGGTTGAATGAGACATCCAGAGTATTGAGCACAGGCATCACCTGCCCTAGAGAGGGCAGTGTTTTCAGTTTATTGTGGGATATATCCAGGGTCTTCAGAGAGGGCAAAATAGCATCAGTCTGCAGCCAGGTCAGCTCATTATGATCCAAGTACAGCTGAGTGAGATGAGTGAAAGGCACCAGGGGTTTCATGAAGAAATTGACAAGGTTGTTCTTACCCAGGTGGAGGATGGCTGTGTCTGCTCGCAAGTCTGTAGGCAGCCCTTTCAGGTTCATGTTCTCACAGTTCTCACTCACCAGGTTGCCCACGACCTCAATCTCAGTCTCACAGATGAGAGAGGGGTATAAGGGGCTTGGCAGCATAAGCAGCAAGAGGAGGAGAGGCATGGGGACCTGTGGATAAGGGGATCTTGAGTGGACACCCCACCAGCTCCTGCCATGATTCCCCCAGGCCCCATCCCCTCACCCCAGTATCTCCCAGATTCCACGACCTTCCTGCTCTCTCCTCTCCCACCCTGACACCCAAAGCCTAAACTACTAGCTGCAGACTTTTGGCTCTTACTCCTCCATCAGACCTTCCCCCTCCCAGCCTCAGCCCCAGCCCCACTTACAGGCAGGGAGAAAGACCTCCAAGGGCACAAAGTTTCTTCCAGGCTGTGACTTTGTCCTTCCCCTTCCTGGCTCCAGAGAAGGCTAGGCCAGCGACAGGAAGGGGATGGGAATGGGAATGGGGAGGAAATGCCAGCCTGATAGGGACTCCTGTGACCCAGGGAATTGGCTTGCTCTGAGATATAACCCTTATCACCTCCCTCCACAACCGTCCTGAACCCTTGTTTTTGACTCTATTTTCTCTCCCTTTCCTTCCACGCTGGGGAGATCTTGGGTGGACTCCAACCACCACTCTTGTCCAGCTTTTTAAAACCTATGCAGATGCCACCCCTGCCCTCTTCCCAACTATATTCTCTGAGTTGCCTAATTTTAATTCTCTCCTTTCTTACCTCCTGCCTTCTCTCCCCACCATAAGCTGATTCCCACCCCTGCTACTTTATTGTCTTGATTTTTGCAAAGGTCACTAGTGCCCTCTGTTCCCCTACATCCTATGGATACTTCTGTAATATAATATTAGTTGAGTTTTGCAGCCCAGGGCTCCCTCTTTTGGAGCACTCACTCCTTGGGACTCTTCTTTAGCTTCCGTGACTAGTGACAGTGATGGTCTTAATTTTCTTCTTACCTGTCTGGTTGGTCCTTCTTGGTCTCCTTTATGAATTTCTCTTCCTCCTCCTCTCCTGAGCAGTTAACCTGCCCCAGATCCTATTCTTTCTTAGGCCCCCTTTATTCTTTTAAGGTACTAGGGATTGAACCCAGGACTTTCACACTGAGTTACACTCCTTGGACTGTTTTACTTTTTATGTTCCTAAGTTGCTGAGGCCTGAACTTGCAATCCTCCTGCCTCAGCCTCCCAAGCTGCTCAGATTACAGGTATGTGCCACCATGCCCAGATTCTTTATTTCTTATGCCCCATAACTACCTGAGATCTTCTTCATACATTCCCTTTCTTTTACCCACCACCTCTACGCCAGTGTTTCTCAGATCTTTATCCCTATCCAGACCCGTCTCCTGAGACTTAGAAACACACATCCAACTGGCTGTTGGACTTCTCTCCCTGGATTTCCCACAAACACAAAAACATCTCCAAAGATGAGCTCATCATCCAGGCAACTTCTTCTCTTTAATTGTTCAGCCTGGTGAACGATATCACCATCCACTCACTTACCTAACCATTCTATCAATGCAAAGTCCTTGACAACCATCCCTACTCCTTACCCCTCTTTCATCCCCACACCCAGTATGTCACCAAGTCCTGATTTTTATCTCTGGTCTCTTAAATCTACTCTCCATCCCCACCTCATTCAAGACAACATATTTTCTCCATTGCCTCACTACAGTAGTCTCCTCATTGGTCTCTCAATTTTCTGATTTCCTTCTATCCACTTTCCACTTTAGTGTTTTTCTGAACTGAAAATTTGCTCAGCTTCCACTGAATTCACCATGGCACATAGCTCTCAGGAGGGAATCTAAAGTTCATAACATGGTCTTCGAGACCCTGTGTGATCTGACCCTTGCCTACCTGTCTGGCTCCACCTTTTACTACTGTACCTTCTGTGATCTCTTCCTGTGCCTGGGTTTCTCTTCACTCCTTACTACCTTCTATCCAACTCTTACTTATCTGGCAAGTTCCAGCTCAGACTTTCTTCCTCTAGGAAGTCTGACTTCTAAGATCACCTTCAGTGTCCACTTCAGAAATCCAGCCACTCGGGCCAGGGATTTAGCTCAGTGGCATCTCATCTGCCTCAGAAGCACAAGGTCCTGAGTTTGATCCCTGGTACTGGGGGGGAAAAAAATCCAGCCACTGCATCACTTTGGGCCACTGCACCTTCTCATGATGAATATGCCCTGGCTACTGCCCCCAGAAGGGGTACAATGGAGCCACATGAGCCTGCCCCTGTCTGCATGCAGCATGGCTGCTGACTGGATGGGGGAGGGGGGGACCCTTGGGTCTGATGAATTAATTCATGGCCATTTAATGTGTCAGCTGAAAAAAAACTATTGGGAAATTTGGAGAAAGTGAGGCAGTGAGCATCAGGAAGTCAGGAACGAGGTTGCATAGGGAAGACATGATGTTGACTAAGGACCCTGAGGCTGTTGGGTTTTATTTTTGTTTTTGGTACTGGGGAACTGAACCCAAGATCTTTGCACCGAGCAACAGCCCCAGCCAATTTTTAAAATTTGAGACAAGTTTCAAGAAGTTGCCCAAGCAGGGCTTGAACTTGCAATCCTTCCAGAGTGTTGGTATTGCAGGTGTGTGAGCCACCACACCTGGCGAGGCTGTTGATTTTTACTGCATTGGTATCAGAATTTTCAGTGGTAAATAAGAAAATATTCTGGCCAGGTGTGATGGCTCACAGCTATAATCCCAGAATGTGGGAGGCTGAGGCAAGAAGGTCTCTGTGAGTTCAAGGCCAGCATGGGCTATGCAGTGGGACCCTGTCTCAAAAGATAATGCTGGAGGGGCCAGGGATTTAGCTCAGTGGTTCTGCCGCCTGCCTTGCAAGCACAAGAATCTGAGTTCGATCCCCAGTACCAAAAAAAAAAAAAAAAAAGCTGGATAATTTAGGCTCAAAAAAATTATTAAAAATACCTTTTCTGGAGCCAGGTGCAGTAGCATGTGTCTATAATCTCAGCTACTTGGGATGCCGAGTCAGGAAGATCACTTGAGCCTACAAGTTCAAGACCAATGTGGGCAACATCATGAGACGGTCTCAAATGAACAAACAAGCAAACAAACTATTGACTCCTCTGGAGACTTCTAGGCTGGAGAACCCAGTATGGAACCACATAGCCAGGAAGAGTGACCAGAACCAGGCTGTAGAACCAGTTGGGTGAGCATAGCTGCTCATGCTGCGAGATGAGGTCATTGAAGCTTGCACTGCCACTGAGCCAGGAACTCAGTGTTAACTCAGCCTTCTCTACTGCAGAGAGAAATCCCGCTGTGTTTCTAGTCCTCTGTGATACCACTTTTTTTTTGAGACAGGGTCTCATTATATAGTTCAGGCTGGCCCCAAACTCAAAAGGATTCTCCTGCCTCAGCCTCCCCAGCCTGTGATTATAGGCACCTTGGTACCACACCCAGCTGTGACTTCTAACTCAAGTCTGAATGAGTCCGCTTGGTCATGTGTCTGTGACCCAGCTGCAAGAAGTCTAGGAAGGCAAATACCTGGCATTTCTGAAGTATGTTCTGCTTGTCCAAAGATTCTGAAGTGGAAAAATTTTCTAAACATGGAAGAGACTCACAGCCAGGTGCCGTGACACACACCTGTAATGCCAGCTGCTCAGGAGAGTCACAATTTGAAGCCAATCTGGGCAACTTTGTGAGACCCCATCTCAAAATTTAAAAGGGCTGGAGATGTATGTATCTCAGTGGTAAAGCACTCTTGGGCTTGATCCCCAGTATGGGGGTGGGGGTGGGGAGACAGAGGAGGAGGAGGAGGAGGAAGGGGCAAGAAGGAAAGGGAAAGGAAGCGGAGGGAAGAGAGAGGAAAGGAAGGAAGAAGAAGGGAGGGAGGGAAAATAAGCCAGAACCTAGTAAAGTGGTCTTCGGAGTGTGTAACACTGCAGTCCAGCCAGCAGCAAGGTCCGAGTGGTCCAGTTCCTCTGGACCCTTGCGGGTCGTTGTGTCATCAGCACTGCGGATGCTCTGGCACACTTCTAGCGACACACTGTTATGGCTTTAATTTGAAGGTCCCTAGTAAATGATTATGCTACGTGCCTTTTCAAGCCTTTATTTGTTCTCTGTATGTCACTTTGGTACAGTTTCTCTTTGTGTCTTTTGCTCATGTTCTAGTTGGATTCTTTATTTTGACTGTTGATTTTGGAGCCTTCTTTTTTAAAGATACTATATCTTTACTGAATATGTGGTTTGCATATATTTTCTCCCAGTCAAGTCATTTATCTTTTCATCCTTTTAAGGGTCTTATTTTTCAGAACAAAAGTTTTAAATTTTGACTAAGTTCAATCTATCAATTTCTGCTTTTATGGATTATCTTTTGGTGTCAACTCTAACTCTGCCTAGATTTTCTCCAATGCTTTTTTATAAAACTTTATCATTCTGTGTTTTGCTTTTAAAATCAAAAGTTTTTGTCATTGCTGCAGTTTGCTGTATACTTGCAAAAACTATCTTCTGAACTGCCTGCCTCTGTATCTTTATGATAAATCATTTGGCTATGATTGTGTACAACCCTTTCTGGATTTTCCATCGTGTTCCACTGATATGTGTGTCTATCCTTCCATCAGTACCAGACTGTCTTGATTACTTTAGCTATACAGTTTTGAAATTTAGTAAGTTGAATCCTCCCATCTTACTCTTCTTTTTTTTCCCTTCTTTATTTTTATTTATTTATTTGATTTTATTTTTATTGTTGCAGTACTGGGGATTGAACCCAGAGCCTTCACTCTGAGCTGCATCCCAGCCTTTTCTTGTTTTTTGTTTTAAAGGTCCGCTAAGTTGCCCAGATGGGCTCGAAATTGCCATCCTTCTGCCTTAAGCCTCTCAGAGTACTGAGATTTTAGGCTTGCACCATCAGGCCTAGCTACTTTAAACTTTCCATTTTGTTCTTCTGTATATCTTCTGCTTCTTTGCTGTGGTGCACATGTGCGTGCACGTGTGTGTGTGTGTGTGTGTGTGTGTTTGAGACAGGGTCTTGCTATGTAGTTCAGGCTGGCCTCACTGTGTGGCCCAGGCTGACTTTGAATGTATAGGGATCCTCCTGCCTTGGCCCTTCAAGTGCTAGGATCACAGATGTGTACCACCATGCCGGCATATGCTGTGGCTTTATTTTGGGTTTTTGTCCTACAGATTGAATCCAATACCATGCATCCCATAACTTCTTGTTATCATGCTGATTTTAAATATTTAAAAAATAATTCTAATGTCTCTTTTTCTGGGTGTTGATATATATTCATCATTTTAAAATTCAGTTTAAGGGGCCGGGGATTTAGCTCAATCGTTCTGCCACCTGCCTCGCAAGTGCAAGGTCCTGAGTTTGATCCCTGGTACCAAAAACAAACAAACAAACAAACAATAAAATTCAATTTAAGATCTTTCTGGTAAAAGGCATGGAG